AAAAATTGGCTATTTTTGTCCAAATCTTCCAAAGGAAAGTCCAGACTATATACGGGACAATTTTATGAATTTGTGATGAAAAGCAGAAACTAATGGTGAAAAGTTTATGGGATTGCTTGATAAGTTAATTGACAGTATAATAATGCTTTTGAATGGTATTCACATAAACATCTCATTGTATCTTTACAATGTGTTAAAATGTTGCTATCAACTTAACAAATTCACCTAGTTTTTACAAATGTCAATGGCAGTTCAATCAATCCAGCCAATCAATGAGCATAATGCACAATGATGTCATTTGAAAATGTTTTAATATTATTCCATCATGCATAGTCTCTAGTTTTAGTTTGAATAGTGAAATTTATAAATACATGTACTGTAGAATACTTTATTTTCGCTTGGAATTTATTTTCGCTATTTTCGCTGAAGGGGTGATTTCGTGAAAATAAAATCCAGCGAATATACTTTTTTTCCTATATTTCACATTAAACTCATCAAAAATCAGTGAAAATAAATTCCATACAAAACGCCCAAAAAGCCTTTTCAGCGAAAATTAATTCCAGCGAAAATAAAGTATTTCACAGTATTTATAAAAATGAAGGGAAAGGTTTGTTGATTTGATAAAGTTTTATTAAATAAATAAGGCAAAATCATTTTACTATATCTAAGGTGCATATTCAAAAGACAACAGAATAAATTTTCAACCATGTAGCCCCTTCCCACCCAATATAGCCATGTATGGTGGATTTTATGATGGGATCAAGACAGATGCGATACACTCTAACAAACTCAGACAGATGATTTAAATAATTAACAATCACAATATCAGGTTTATGTACAAATTATAAATAATATATTTGATGATCTAAAATTGATTTTAATACAGCAACTTTAAGAAAATGTGTTGACTTACTGGTATTATAAAAGCTACTATTTCATTGAAATTTGTTTTATTTTTCAGTAAACTGTGGTATTTAACACAGAACTCAAGTGGCCAATGGATAAACCATGATCTCAGTTTTGGTAACAAGGATGTCTGTAACTATGGTTACCAAGGCCCATGGGATAAACATCATTTTATTCTGGCATTTGGGGAAGATGAACAAGGTATGTTAAAAAGTAGATTATTAAGAAACAAATCATCATAGATGTACCGTACTTATCTGGGTAAGAACCCATTCCCAAGCAAACGCCCACCCCCCACTCTTGACACAATAAAGAAGTTGAGGTCATATCCACTAGCCCAGGGGGTCTTTTTCTACACAAAAAAATAACAAAAACTATTTTATATCCGTTAACTGTGGTTGTATTAACAGTTAGACTTTCTTGTAGTCGTGATGCTTATAAAACTATTCTTGAAGTATAATTGTTAATTGCGTAAAATAAAGGGTGAATGCGAAATAGCTGTGACAGCAATATAGGTATTTCGCTTTCAGAATCATAACAGTCAGCAAGTCTATAAAAATATATATCAAAGCAGAAACGGTAGTTCTCTTTTTGAAATATGTCATGGCCTGTTTGGGCGAGTTTGTCGGTGGGGAAATCCTAATTCAAATGATTCCTCACTGACGATTTTTATTATTTCTGGTTTATTTGTCACATTATAAGCAATACATTAGTTTTGTTTTACTTCTAGTGTTGCATATTGTTCATTTATTTCTGTTGCATGTTTTCATTTGCCGTTCTATTCCCTGCCGCAGTTCGATATGCGTGTTGTCAATTTTCGTGAATTTTAGTTTTTTTGCTGGGGATATCCTGGCAAACGCCCACCCCTATTTTTTGGCAATTTTCCATGTTCAGGACCCTGGGCGCTTACCCGGATAAATACGGTAGATGCAGTGGGCAGAGTGGTGCTGCAAAAGCTGATTGATTGGACAACTTTTTCACTTTAACTTCAGTGATCAAAATTGATATCCATGTCAAATTGAAATAAAATTCATTGTATTGTCGGTGATTATGTAAATTTTCTTACACTAATGATTCTCTGACCTCTGACCTCTGACCTTTATTTAAATTACAGGAGAGGTATACATGATGACAACCACGAGTGTGAGTAATACTGATCCCACTGGTACTATCTACCAGATTGTTGATCCGGCTCGCCGTACGGATCCATCAACATGTAGCCAGATAGATTCCATCACTATTGGAGAGGAAGAATTCCCGGTGTTGTCGGCAGCCAGCAAATGCACCATGACGTATGCCTTAATGGCCGTTTCTGTTTTCTCTCAATTCTTCTCAAGTTTTTGAGAGTTTGTGAGATATACCTGTACAACAATATAGTATTTATTGTGAGCGTCAACAGAACTATAAAAAATATATATTTTAATATACTAATTCAGTAATGCCTTGATTAATAAAATGATTTTAGGCGAACAGGTATAATTTGGCCAAAATCATGACTTAATAATTCAGAAAAACTACAGCATGAATATCACAACTCACTGCAACTGAAATATTAACTCTTTCCCTAACTCGTGACGTTTGTCTTGTGTGAAGCAAAGCAGTTACATATTTTGCAGTGCAGTTCAGATTGCATGTGTGCACATTAATGTATGTCATTATTTAATAATCACGTCACATGGATCAGTCTATAAATATATTTTTCACAATGTTCTAAAAATATGTAGTAACCTATTTTAGTATTATATATTTGTATCAACAGTTTTTGTTTATATTTTGTATTTAACTGTAATGCCATTTTTTGCTCCATCAGTTGTGTAAATGACAAAGGTTTCTGATCAAATCAACATTTAATGATCTTGTATTATTAAAGATGTACTTCTAATGGTGCAAATACAGTACATGTCTTTATTTTCAGCATTTAGTTTCCCAGTTTATTGTTAACTCTGCCAAACCATAAATTACTGCACACCAAGAAAAGGACTTTTGTTTGCTTTACACTTCAGTCTCATATTTGACCAAATATAGAATTAATCTGTAAATAATTATGCAAATGAGTTTATTAAAAATCTCTAAATGAGTTGAGATCAACACAATGGCACCCTATGGAATGTCAAAAAATACATGTGGGGTTCTGGTCTTGTGAAAGAAAGATTGGACAAGGTGTATGTTTGTTTTTTTAAACAACTGCCTAATATGCAAATGATTTAATTGGTATGCAAAGTTACTTTAATAAAACTCATTATTATAGTATTTGCATACTTTTTGTATACAAATCTGTTCCAAATATAGGGTACTTCTTGTATACAAAAATTATACATAAAATGCACAAATTTATTCAGAATTTGTATACTTTTTGCACACAAAAAGTATACATTTTGTCTAATGAATTTCGGTTAGGGGTATGCCTTTTTTTGAAACAACTGCCTAATATGCAAATGATCTAATTGGTATGCAAAGTTACTTTAATAAAACTCATTCACACTGCAAGCAATTGCCAAAATAAGCTTGAAAATAATTGAGGCAGCTGTCATGAATCTTCAAACATACATGTCCTGCACACGGGTTGCAGAAAACACCCTGGGACAGTGAGGAAGTCTACATTTGGCACAGATCAAAGATGGCTGCTTCCGTAACTACTTTCATATTAAATTCATTGCATGGTTCAGCCTCAATCCCACATGGTCAAAACAATTGTTCGGAGTAAAATTATATATAAAAAACACATTTGCAGCACATACCCATATCTTAAACATTATTAAAGAGATTAACATTTTATTGTTAAAGTCATATTACATCATGTTTATAATGAAGGAATTATATTTGTTATGTTATAAATTGGCATATCTGTATTTTGCATAATTAATTTTTATAATAATTTATACATCATGGAAATGAATTTCATATTTACTTAATGAAATTGTTTATATAAACTGCCACAAGAATTGTATTGCTAGTGTAACTGCCAGAGGTAAAAAAAAATAAAAACCATTCTTTTCACACGTGATAAACTCTTACCTGAATATGCATCAGGGTTTATAAACTCATACCTGAATATGCATCTGGGTTTATAAACTCATACCTGAATATGCATCAGGGTTTATAAACTCTTACCTGAATATGCATCAGGGTTTATAAACTCGCACCTGAATATGCATCAGGGATTAGAAACTCATACCTGAATATGCATCAGGGTTTAGAAACTCGTACCTGAATATGCATCAGGGTTTATAAACCCACACCTGAATATGCATCAGGGTTTAGAAACTCGCACCTGAATATGCATCAGGGTTTATAAACCCACACCTGAATATGCATCAGGGTTTAGAAACTCGCACCTGAATATGCATCAGGGTTTATAAACCTACACCTGAATATGCATCAGGGTTTATAAACTCATACCTGAATATGCATCTGGGTTTATAAACTCATACCTGAATATGCATCTGGGTTCAGAAACTCGTACCTGAATATGCATCAGGGTTTATAAACTCATACCTGAATATGCATCTGGGTTTATAAACTCATACCTGAATATGCATCAGGGTTTAGAAACTCGCACCTGAATATGCATCAGGGTTTAGAAACCTACACCTGAATATGCATCAGGGTTTATAAACTCATACCTGAATATGCATCTGGGTTTATAAACTCATACCTGAATATGCATCTGGGTTTAGAAACTCGTACCTGAATATGCATCAGGATTTATAACTCATACCTGAATATGCATCTGGGTTTATAAACTCATACCTGAATAT